AAAGCATGAGCGTGGTATTCGTGTGACTGATCTGGCCTCGGAGTACAAGATGGCGAAGTCATTTTGAAGAATAAAGATGGTTAAAAAAAATACATATGGTTCAGAACAGATTAACCTTATTTACATTAAGCCTTATGGGAAAATTTGATTTGGTTAGCAACCAAAATCAGTTTGCAACCACGTTCGTAGAGGTCAGAATGGATTAACCTTATTTACATTGAACCTTATGGGGAAATTTGATTCGGTTCGCGACCAATTCGGCTCATGACCAGAATTGTGGAACGAATTAAGTTTGTGAGTACAGGTACCACTGTACTTTAAAACAAAAGCCCATTTTAAAAGGTATGCCTTAAGGGTCTTTTAAAAGCAAATAAGTTAGCTCCCTCAATTCAGCAGGAGTGTATTCCAAAGAACTAAAGCAGTGCTTCCCAAACCTGGGTAAATTAATAATAATAATAATAATAATAATAATAACAACAACCCTAATAATCCAATCATTTAGGAAAGAATACACATTAAATGGGGTGTGTTTGTTTCATTGATTTACAAAAATTATTTGACTTATCAAAGAAAATAATTTTGATTTTTGAAACTTATAGAGCCAACCTAAATTAAATATTCAAAATCATGAAAAAATAATATCAAAATACTGTTATCTTTAAGGGACATGTGCCGTTCATTTTAAACGTATAGCAAAATTATGCCAAAATAGTATAGAAATTTGAGGTTGAGTAAAAACTGTCACATATACTGTTTGGCATCAATAATCCCATGGATTCACTGATGCTTGTCTAGTATTACCACTGCACCATTCAACAAACTAATTCAATTTGCATTTACATTGATGGAACTGTAATTAATTGTAATTATGCTTAATACATGAACATGGAGCAAGCTTTACACTTTTGACAAAAGCTATGGTTTTGTATTGTTTTTCACTTTTCACAGAATGACAGTTAAAAATTATTCAATTGCTACAGCTGTTCCTTGACAGAGGCTAGATGAAGGTTACTTTTTACTTAGACATTATCCAGTATGTTCATACCTGTGAAGTCTCCCTTCTGAAATGGGAGGATCCTATCTCAAAGACCTTCTTCTCATTCCTCTGCATGACTCCTCTAATCTCCTCCATTAAGGCGAGTGCATGCCTCTGGTCTCCCCAGCTTCGGTCCCCATATAGCTATAGCAGGACTGTCAAGTGAAACTTACTCAGTATTGCATCGCATTTTGTTTTGGAGATGCAACACAAGACAGGGCCAAGCTTTTTTCTTTGAGTTGTGGATGAGGTAAAGTGCATTTGCCTTAACCACCCTAAGATTTGCTTGAAATCATGTTGAGAAGAACAAGAGAAGCAGGCAAAAAAGGGAAACAATGGGAAACAGAAAAATTAGAACTAACAAGAACAACTATCATTATATTTTTCCATTCATGTACATGGTCACCATACCAAATTCATTCTTCTCAAGTAGCAGTTTTATTGCTGGTATTACAAAGCAGGATAATAACAGTCTGCCCACAAATTCCAGAAAATGAAGAATTCAAAATTTAATGCAATTAAACATTTGAGAAACGAGTCTTAAAAATTTGATTCTGGTGCCTGGAATTAAATTTCTTTTTTTTTTTTTTTTACATGTTACTTCATTTTAAATTATTCAGTTGTAATTAGGAATTCTGCTCATTTTCCTGATCAAAAGACCTAAAATGAATTCCTATTTTTAGATATACAGTATATTCCAAATATAAATATGGGCATGAACACCGGAATTGCAGAAGTAGGGAACAGGTGAATTTCCAAATCTTGAAATATAATTTCCAGATGTTTCTGAACTTCTTACAACTGACCATGTTGCCTAAATTGCTTTGGGATTGTAGTTTAGAAACATCTGAGGGTTATGGGTTGCCCATCCCCTATTTTAACCCTAAATGTTAGATTTCTTATTTCATGGGTGACATGTAATTTGAAGCACTGAGTAAACAGTTTTTCAACATATTTAGCTTGTACTGAAAGAAACTCCATATAACATCTTCCCTGTAACATCATTATAATCTGCCAATTATTGCATTTCCTTTAGAAGAAAATATTCCAGTGTATGTGATCATTTTTACCAATTCTTGTCAGTGACTTTCCCAATATATTTTTTTCCTCCCCCACACAGTGCTAATCACACTGGTGAAACAGGAGCCAGACTCATTCTATTTTTAGCAGACCAAGCAACCTTCCTTGTTTACAGCTAACCAATTTTGTACACTACTGTATCTGAAAAAAATGGATGTCAATCACAAAGAGGCCCAGAAAATCCTGGCTTGACTGCATCCCTGTCCATCCACTGAATTCATATTTGATTACTCGATGAAAGAACAGCCTGGAAGCTGGAGATGGTGAAACCATGATAGATTTACTCTGCAATGAAGTCAAGCATGTGAATGCCATTATAGAACTTTCTAATGATGACTGGATGAAAGCCCCAACAGCTCAGCTGCATCCTTTGGTGCTAGTAGGTAATGAATCTTATTAAGAACTGTTTCACCTGTAATAAAGGGATGTGGTAATTTAAATTACCTCATTTCTAGGATTGTCACTGAATAAAGAAAATTTGAATTTTGAGCTCAGAAATAAGTACGCAAATTGATCATGCAAATTCCCCTTTTTGGACATATTTAATTTGCACGTTTCACTCTGAGATACTGCAGACTTTTTACAAGAAGTAGATTTGCATGAAGAAGGTTGTGTTAGATGATTGAGGGTAGGAGGGAGGCAGTAACATTTTTCTTTTATTCAGGAATGAGGGCATTGTGAAAGAAACTTTCATTGGGGGAAAACAAACCTGCTGAATACCTCATACTTTCTGGTGTCATTTCCGAAAACAACAGTAGCACCAAGCTAAGCTTGAGAGGGGAAATCATTTTCCAGAAAGAGGATTAGTAACCTGAGGCTTGAAGCCATCATCTCTAATTTAAGTTGAACCACTTTGTGTCACATATGCAGTAGTTATAATACTGACCCCAGGAGTCAGCCTGGCCCCTGTTTAGTTTGCAAGGAGTCACAGCTTCTGCTGCCTCTTCAGCTGGCTCTTGCCTTGTCCGAAACATTTCATGGCTCACTCCTTTCCGGACATTGACTGTAGCTACTTTGGGTCCTGTGCAGAGTTTTTCAGATGGCATAGCTGTAGTTGTTAATCACTCTGTCTTGCCTCTTATGTGTATTCCTACTTGTAATGATTAAGATAACAACACTTGCCCCCTAATCCAAAGCTGCCAAGGGGAAGGGGAACAAGAGCTGCCTAAGGGCAACATTCTCCTGAACAAAGGGTCAGTCACTTCCTGAGTTATTGACCACAGACATGTCATCAGACCATCCCCGGTGTCTGCTAGAGACTCTGTCTTTCCTGCCCTTTGCTGCCTAAGTTATCCTGATAAGTCCTTGATAAGATGTGCTGCCAAGAAATCCCCAGATATTATTGTGTATACTCCCCATCCTGTCCCTGTTAGTATGAAAATGTACCAAAAGCCCCCAGATAGTTTGAATCTCAGTATAGATAGACCCAAAGTCTCAGGAGGGGGCTGCCTCAGTCCCAACTTTAGAGGACCTGTCCTCTGCCATTCTTGGGATTCCTAGCATGCTGAAAGAGTGTGGAATGGCCTATTTTGCGGTTGTCGCTGTTGTTCTCTCTCTTTATATTTATTCAATAAAACCCTCTTTGGCATTTCATCCTCTTTTTTTTAATATAATTTTATTGAAAGTTTTAAAAACAAGTAAAAATTAATATAAACTAAAATAGAGTAAGAAAGAAAAAAAAGGAAGAAATAAAAGAAAGCTAAAGTGCAAAAAGAAAGAAGAAAAATAGAAGAAAAATAGAAAAGAAAGAAAAAAGATATAAAGTGGCTCTGATCTTCTTTACAGCAGTTATAAGTACAACTGTAAATTTACCTCTTTTTCTAAAGTTACATCATGACCCTTCTTTCTATAATCTATCCTATCTAATCATCAAAACCATAGATCATAAGTTCATTTTTTTCTGTT